GAAAAACTGAATTTCATAACCAGCATTTCAAAGGGCACAAGGCTTGCCCTGCCTTATACAGTAGGAGGGGTGTGTTTGGAAACCTTTTGAGCATAAACTGTTTTTGAGAGCCGGTGGTCAGTGAGACCTTCATCTTATCCTAACTGGCATCCACAGCAGAGCAGCAGTGACCTGATGAAGGCTAAGGCCAGACCCTGCTCCTCATCTCCTGTTGTTCTCACTGCCTTTTCTTGCTGTCTTTCAAATGGAGAGGCATCCACTATCTAGACTCAGCACAGTAAACACGAGTGCAAGGATTGAAGTAGGGCAGGGTGTTTTATGATTAGCTGGCTGGCCTTCTGCTAGCGCCCGGAGCCCACATAGGCAGACTGGCTCCAGGGCTCATTTGTGTGTACAGGCTGGAGAAGTGGGATGACAGGAACCTTATGAAGTTCAACAAGGGGAAGTGCAATGTTCCGTACCTGAGGAGGAACAACCCCAGGCGCTAGTACATGGTGATGGTGCCCAGCTGGAAAGCAGCATGAGCCAACAATGTGCCCTTGCTACAAAGAAGGCTGAGGGTATCCTGAGCTGCACTAGGCAAAGTATAGTCAGCAGAATGAGGGAGGTGATCATTCCCCTCTGCTCAGCACTGGTGAGGCCACACCTGGAGTGCTGTGTCCACTTCTGGTCTTCCCAGTGCAAGAGAAACATGGCAATACTGGAGAGAGTCCAACAAAGGGCCACAGGGATGATAAGGGACTGGAGCATCTCTCCTGTGAGGAGAGGCTGAGAGAGCTGGGACTGCTTAGCCTAGAGAGGGCTCAGAGGGGGACTTCATCAATGTATGTAAGTTATCAACAGATGGGTACAAAGAGAACCCAGCCAGGCTCTTTTCAGTGGTGCCCAGTGGCAGGACCAGAGGCAGTGGGAACAAACTGAAACACAGGAAACTGAACATCAAGAAACAGTTTTTCACTGTGAGGGTGTCTGAGGACTGACACAAGTTACACAAGGAGGTTGTGGAGTCTCCCTCCTTGGAGATACTCAAATTACCATCTGGATGTGGTTCTGGTCTACTGTTTTAAGTGTACCTGCTTAAACAGAGGGTTAGACAAGGTGACCTCCAGAAGCCCCTTCCCACTTCAACCGCTCAGAGTCCACGATACAAGCTCCCTGCAGCCACAGAGAGCTGCCGCTGTGGCAGTGCACGGGCTGTCAGATCAGCACACTCGGCTGCTTTGTGCACTTTATGGGCGTGACCCTGGCCTCAATCGCTGCTGACCCTGGGCACTAGCCCGGCTGCAGAACAGGCAGCCATCTCACTCCTGCTCTAACAGTTGCTGCTGCCCTCCTTTGGTTTTCATTGACCAGAAGCACGGACTATCTTTGAGCCCTTGTCTCTTCCCTGTGTCTGCAAGATGGTCCGTTCAGTCTCACTGCGCTTGGGCCTGCTGTCAGCTCCGTGGAGCAGACAGCCCGTCCCCAGGACACTGTGCAGCAGCAGCAGGCACGGAGGTGGCACGCTGTGACTCGGGGGGGGAGGGCTGAGGGCGCTCCCTACGGAGCTCTTTGGAGCACTCCCGTAACTTACCACCAGACCGCAGCCAGCAAGCTCCGCCCCGCCGCCAGATGTGCCCATGGCTGCGCGCGCGCACATCGCTCAGAGTCTGGCAGGAGCAGTGGCCCGAGGCTTTACGCATGTGCAGCGCATACTGACAGGTGCCCTCGAGCGATCAGAGGCCAATGCTGCAGGGAATCGCACCCCGCATGCGTGTTTTCATTGAGGGTGCTCAGTGTTGCCCTCTCGTTTTGCGCTCCGGTGCTGCAGCCGGTCCCATCGCGCCTGCGGCTTGTCACGTGATTGGCCTACTTTCCACCACGTGCGTTTTACGCAGCTAGGCAGTGCAGTTTCCAGATCTGCAACGCCACTGGCCGGGCTCACAGCCGCTTTTCCGCGGGCACGCGGGGTGCTGCACCCAGCCGATTTACACATGCGCACAACAGCCCACGGGCTATACTGCTGTCGCTTGGTAACAACCGTGTAGACGCCCATGCGACGCATGCGCATTTCGGCTGGCGGTGCTGGGACTGCCACCAGCAGGCTACTGCCTGTGCAGTGCAGCCTTCAGGCTCCGGCGTGTGCCTAGCCGCTCGCCGTGTCTAGTCAAGTTCTCCAGCCTTTCGGTAGCAGGTGACACTCGTGCTCGTCACCCCGTCCCGGTGCTTAGTGACCGTCAGCAGAGCCTGTCTTTGTTGGTGTTCGTCCGTGTCGGCGGGGACTGCAGCCCGCCGCGCTGCTCGGCGGCGAGCACACACAGGGACGGCGTCCCGCCGGTCTCTGCTGCCCCCGGCTGCCTCGGTGCAGTCGCTGCTGCCTGAGCGGCAGAGGGTGGGGAAGGGCATCGCACAAGGTACACTGCGCATGCGCGATCCGGCTGTTCCCCATTCCAGCCCCGCGCGAGCAGGGGGCGGGGCCGGCTGCGGTGCCACGCCGCGAGGGCGCCGCTTGCGCGGGCGGGCGCGCGCGTTTTCCCTCGCCGGCGGTGTCGGAGTTACCTGTAGTGTGGCACGCCAGGCTGCACCGCTGCGCTCACGAAAACGGTTGGAAATAGCTGTGTGAAAATTGTGGCTGTGGTATGTTAGAAGAAAACAGCTTAAGGCGACGTTGTGCTGCCCATATGCAGCTGTGTGACTTTAATTACCCGCAAAGTACAGAAGTGCAGTTTTGTGCTGTCTTGTCAAAATTTAGAGTTATCCATGTGTATTTTAGTGCATTTGCCTGTGGCCCTAGGGCTATAATATATATTACATGTTATATCTTAGAGTGCCATCCTGAGTGCCACTTTTACTTGGGGTACTATGTAAGTACTATATATTATAGGCAATATATATAAGAAGCAATATATATAATATAAAGTAGTACATTAAATGATACATTAAGTGCTACGCAAGTGCTATGTAATATATTAATGTAATATATAAGTAATATATTAGTACTATTTAGGTGATATCTATCATAATATGTAACCACTGAAGTGCCAACTTGAGTGCCAACTGAAGTAGTTCTTTTACTTGGGGTACTATGTAAGTAGTATATATTATAGACAATATATATCAGAAGCAATATATAGTACATTATGTGATACAATAAGTGATATTAAATATATTACGTAATGTAATATATAAGTAATACATCTGTAATGTATTAGTATTATTTATATTAGTATTATTCATATTGCCACTGGCCCCTCCCACACTCCTCTTGGCCCCTCCCACACTGCTCTTGGCCCCTCCCACACCCCCTTGGCCCCCCCCACCCCTCTTGGACCCTCCCACACCCCTATTAACCCCTCCCACACTGCTCTTGGCCCCTCCCACACTGCTCTTGACCCCTCCCATATCGCTCTTGGTCCCCTGCACCCCTCTTGGCCCCTCCCACACCCCTTTTGGCCCCTCATATTGCCACTGGCCCCTCCCACACTGCTCTTGGCCCCTCTCACACCCCTCTTGACCCCTCCCACACTGCTATTGGCCCCTCCCATACCACTCTTGGCCCCTCCCACACTGCTGTTGGCCCCTCCCATATCGCTCTTGGCCCCCCTCGCTCTTGGCCCCTCTCACACTGCCCTTGGCCTCTCCCACACCCCTCTTGGCCCCCCCATTACCGCCACTGGCCCCTCCCACACTTAGCTTGGCCCCTCCCACACTTCTCTTGGCCCCTCCCAAACTGCTCTTTGCCCCCCCCACTGCTCTTGGCCCTTCCCACACTGCTCTTGGCCCCTGCCACACTGCTCTTGGCCCCTCTCACGCCCCTCTCACACCCCTCTTGGCCCCTCCCACACCCCTCTTGGCCCCCCCCATACTGCCACTGGCCCTTCCCACAGCACCCTTGGCCCTGTCAGCACCCCTCTTGGCCCCCTCCCACACTGCTGTTGACCCCTCCCACACCCCTCTTGGCTCCCCCCATACTGCCACTGGCCCCTCCCACAGCACTCTTGGCCCCTCCCACACCCCTCTTGGCCCCCCACTTCTCTTGCCCCCCCCCCCCATCCCCCCGCTGTTGGCCCTCCCACACTGCTCTTGGCCCCCCCTCCCCGCTCTTGGTTCCTCCCACACTGCTCTTGGCCCCTTCAACACCATTCTTGGCTCCCCCCATACCGCATTGGCCTCGCCCACACCCCCGTGGCTGCGCCCACACCCCTCTTGGCCTCCTGAGAAGCGGGGGGATCCCCCGTTTTTACACCCTGGGATAACGCTCCCCCCTCAAAAAAAAATCTCACCTGGCCCCCCCTGCAGCTGTACCAGAGACGGTGACGGGCATTGGGGTGTCCCTGTGTGTCCCCGAGGAGGAGGAGGAAAAACCCGGTGGGGAGGAAGAATTAGCCACGGAGGATGATAACTGCGGCGACCTGGAGGTGTGGAAAGAATTGGGGGGGCGGGGGGGGGAGGGAGTTGCTGAGAAGGTGGGGTATTTTTGGGGGTGCAGCGGGGGGTGATAGATTGACATTTGATCCCCCCCAGCTCGGCGCGATGACAGTGGAGCTGAATCCCCGGGTGGAGACGGAGGGGGTTGCGGGGAGGGGTCCGCACCCCGTGACCCCAGTTTGGAGGAGGTGGCCGCCCTCCCCGCCCTGCTCCAGGGCCAGGGGCTGCGGAGAAATGGAGGAAAAAGCTGCAAAAAAGAGCAGGGGAGGAAAGACACCCCCTTTTTCCCCAACCGCCCCTGATTCTCCCGCAAACTGGGACTGATCCCCCCCCGCATCCTGCCGCGGAAATCGCCACGAAGCTTTCAGAGGCGCTGCAGGCGGCCGTGCCACTCTGAGGATGGGACATTTGCAGCAAAATGTTTATTTTTAATTTTTTTTCAAGGGAGAAATGGTTTAAAAAAGAAAAAAAAAAAAAAAAGCCCTTCTTGAAGGAAAACCGTGGGCGGAACAGGGGTGCGTTTCAGAGGGGCAATTCTGGGGGGGTCCTGGGGTGTCTCTCAACTGGGAGGTTGGAATGTGGAGGCTTGGAGGATGGGGGAGGAAGGAGAGGGGGGTCCCCAAATCCCCATAGAGGTTTACGATATCCTCAGCTGTGCCGGTGGGTGATGAAGGCTTCCCTGTGCTTGTGGGGTGCAGGATTACCCCCCCCCCCCCAATATCCCCGGACCAGATGTGGGAGGGTGGTGGCTGTGGGACAGCGAGCTCCCCTCGTAACCTCGGGCGCCATTTTGTTGCCTCTTCCTCCACCCTGAGGGAAGGACTCTGGGGAAAATCACAGCAGGTGCCTTAAACGCCTTTAATTTGGCGAGAGGAGGGATAAAACCGGCCGTCTCCGGTCGTCGGAGGATGTTTTAGTCTCCTTTTAATGTTTTGGTTATTTTTTTAACCGCGGGAGGGAGGCGGCCGTGAGGGGAGAGGCTCTTTTCCCGCCTTTTTTTGCCACCTGAGGGGGGGGAGGAGGGGGTGCGAGGATAGTGTCGCCCGCAGGTGCGGAGGGGTGTGAGGGGGTGGAGCGAAGGCGGCCGCGCTCGACCAATCGCGAAGCGAGGGAGGGGGCGGGCGGGCTGACAGCGTAGCCCGGACCGATAGGGGGCGTGGTTTGCCGCCGGCGCATGCGCAGAGGAGCGGGACCCTGCTAGCCGCGGCTGTGAGGGGAGGCGGGGAACTGTGGCGGGTCGGACTTTTTAACGGGCTCGGGGCGGGGCTGCGGCCCGGTTGAAGAAAGGGGAAGGAAGGGACAGTCGTGGCGATGGGCTCGTCGCAGTTTCACCCCGCCCGCCGCTTCTTTTCCCCTCACACCTGCTGTGAGACGTGTCCCAGCGGAAGCGCAGCAAAGGATCCGGCTCCCCTCAGGTAAACGGCTGCCGCCTCTTTCTCGTTTTTTCCCTTTTGCTTTTCCCACTCGCTTGCTTGTTTGCTGTTCCCATTCAGCTCTGGGCTTTTTCCCCCTTCTCCCCTCACCCAGGTGAGCGAGCTGGGTCAGTCCCTGCTTGTCAAAGACCAGAAAAAAAATCCACATCAAGAGAATGGGTGAGTTTAGGGGGACCCCCCCCCCAGCTCTCGGCACCCCCCTCTCGGCTCTCGGCACTCCCCCGCCGGTCTCGGACCCCCCCCTCCCTTTCGCCCCCCCCCCCCCCCCAGCTTTCGCCCCCCTCTCCCCACTTTCACCCCCCCGCCCCCGCTCTTGCCCCCCCCCCGCCTCCGCTTTTGCCCCCCCCCCCCCCGCCGCTCTTGGCCACGCCCCCGCCCCCCCTGCCCCCCCCCACCGCTCTCGCCCCCCCCCCCGCCCACCCCCACTCGCCCCCCCCCCCCCCCCGCCGCTCTCGCCCCCCGCCGCTCTCGCCCCCCGCCGCTCTCGCCCCCCCCCCTCGCCCCCCCCCTCGCCCCCCCCCGCCCCCCCCCCCGCCCCCCCCCCTCGCCCCCCCCCCTCGCCCCCCCCCTCGCCCCCCCCCTCGCCCCCCCCCCTCGCCCCCCCCCTCGCCCCCCCCCCCTCGCCCCCCCCCCCCTCGCCCCCCCCCCTCGCCCCCCCCCCTCGCCCCCCCCCCCTCGCCCCCCCCCCCTCGCCCCCCCCCCTCGCCCCCCCCCCCTCGCCCCCCCCCCTCGCCCCCCCCCTCGCCCCCCCCCCTCGCCCCCCCCCCTCGCCCCCCCCCCTCGCCCCCCCCCCACTCGCCCCCCCCCGCTTTAAAAAATAAGGCGATTTGTCCAGTCCTTACTATACCAGGTGAGTCGTAGCAATTAAGAAAGATACATCGCCGATCGTCCTGGTGCTTAACCATCGCCTGGATCCGTGCTTCAGCCGGGGAGCCCCGTCACGACGAAGGATCGGAGAGACTTTCCCGGCAACTGGTGAGTCCTACATGGTGCGTCCGCTCATGGACGAGGTCTCCGTCTGCTGTGCGAGGGTTCCGGTTTTAGATGGGTTAACGAACAAATCTGTAAATGTGTAGAATTGACAAAATGCACGCAAGACATCGGGTGGATTGAGTCGACTCGTCGTCCTCCTTTGAGATTCTTTCCCGAGCCTGGCCGAGGCTTGAGGACAAACCGAGGAATTCGACCTCGATAATGGGCTTCTAAACGAGGAAATGTCAACATAAGAGGAACCGAGGGAGTTTGCGTAATCAACCTCAATAATTGGCTCCTAAACTAGGAAATGTCGGTATATTCCTGTACTGTTTTATCTAAGTTACATATCTCAATAATGAGATGTTCTATCCAAGCTACGTATGTCAGTAACGATTGGATACAGTCAGTATATAACACGTTTGGTCGTGAGATTCGTCCAGAGGGTGACTTTGGCTCGAGACCTGTCGTTCAGGCCTCGGTACTTTGACAGCAGAGCCGATAAAGGGCAGCGGAGCACGAGCATGGCCTCGGGAGGCACGCTGACATCGGGAGAAGAGTCAAACATAAAAGACGGCTCTCGCACAGGATGCTTAACTCGAGAAGGCATCCCCGCGACGTACGGAGGTTCTCGGGGGACAATCAACCAAACGGATGCATCCGAAATGGCGGTGATTAAGTAAGACAGCTCTGGGGTGTGGACAAAGCCCGAGGAAGGGATCTGTCCGCGTAAGAGATGTACGCGGAGAGCCGTGGAGCTCAAACGGTGCTGTCAGATACGAGGATTGTCTCGAAAGACATCATGACGAGAATGAGAGGGCTCCGGGGAGCGGAGGGAACGTGGGTGTGGAGACAAACAAAGGACAAAAAATAATTTGAAAAAAACGCGAATGGAATACAGGTAGACAGGGTACATTAAAAGCGATGGTTAATAAAGAAATAATGAAATAAATAAGAAATATTGATGGCAAATTACAGGGGAGATGTAGAAATAAAATTTAAGAGGTCAGCAACGGGGAAAACTGAGACAAAATAATTTAAAAACAAATGCGGTGACCGAGATACGAGCCAATTGTAAAAGCCCAGGGATGAAGAGACGAAAGAATTAAAAAATACCGATGGCAAACCGAAACACCGCTGTTGCAAAATGGCCAAGCAAAAATAATTGCTTAGCGTAGCGTAAAAACTTAAGCGATCGGTCAAACGCCTATGACGTGTCATCTGTCACACGGAGATCCATCGGCTAGGTGAGCGTGATAAACGCCTCCCCGGAAACGCGTATGTGGAGAGGCTCCGTGTCTAATTGAGAGACTCCTAATCGGAAGCCCTTGTCCTTCAATGTCAAGGCCCTCTGAAAAAGAACAAACTATCTGAAGGCAGGCGGATGTAAGAAAGCGCAGATGTAAACCCAAGAAAGGCCCGATTCTAAAACCTAGACAAAGTTCGAGAAAGGATCCTCTCCAGAAACTGCTATAGACCTGCCGAGGACCTCCGTGGAAGCCCCTCAGGGACCTAAATCGCACAGGTAATAATGATATAACGACGATAATGAGTTAATGAATAGGCACATAACGGGATGATATGAGCTTTGGCTAATGGTTATGTACGACAGGCGAGTTAGGCAGAACGATTCCCTCGCGTACCCCGCCAGATAAAGTAATCCCCATGCGTTAACGCTAAACCTGGAGTTAAGGAGGTTTCGTTCCCGATTTCAGTAGAGAATTTCGGTGACCCGGCTGGGATGCTGCCTCGGAAACTTGACGAACCCACGGGATGGTGAAGACTGGCATCGCCTAAGTGGTTTTTCGGGGAGATCCTCTGATCCCCTGATCCGGTGAGTTTGGAGTAAGAGCCCTGGTGGGGTTTTTTTTTGGTTGTTTTGGTTGGTTGGTTTGTTTGTGTTTTTTTTCAGGCATTACCAATGGTAACACAGACTGGAAAAGCCTGTCCGTAAGACTGGACGCAAGAAATTCCCACAGGACTCTGCTATTAAGGGAAACCCGGGAAGAAAGGCGAGATTACACGTTATTACGGTGACGTGCCTGGAGTGTCGCCTGGGGTCAGAAGAAAGCCTCGATTGCGCGTAAGATGCAGGCTAGGGTATCATGGGGTATTGGCCATTGTACATGTCTCATTATTATCTTGTATAACAGCCTTGTTTAGTCTGTTAGGCGGTGTCATAGTTTTGTGTACGTAATTGTTTATTTTGTTTAATGTGGGTTCCGACCGGTCTAAAGGGTCTGAGAGCGGTCTTTTCAAAAATTCACCTCTGGAATGTATATTAAAATATTGGAGGGACGTGGGAAGCGAACCCCTTATCTGGGAAACAATTAATTGACTATTGTAATCGTTGGTGGCCGCTGTACGTTTTAGAAGATCGAGAGAAGTGGCCAAAGAACGGACCTTACAGCTTAACACTATATACTGTCGATGTTGTTTTGTTGGAGGGAAGGGAAACGGGAGGAAGTGCCTTACGTTGATTTTTCTTATGTGGCTACATCATCCGGAATGGCAAAAGGATGATGTGTGATTCTGAGCGACCCTACGGTTTTAACATTAGAGAAGGATTGGGGAAAGAAGTTAAAGATGTGCTGTTCGCCACGTAGATGTCTGGGCCCCCTGCACACCAACCAGACCCCGTGCACCTTGCTGGGCCTCTGTACACACCAACGAGGCCCTCTAGAGCACAACCACACCTCCTAGACTTTGCCTGGCTACTCTGCAAGCCACCGGACCCCGAGCTCACTACTTGGCCCCCCTGGAACATCTCTGGGCCACCAGATGGCCAATTACACCCCCTGAACCTCACCGAGAGCCCCTACGCCTCGCCTGGACCCCGTGCACCTCAACCAGCCCCCTTGCAGCCCGACAAGATGCCCGGCACACCAAACTTACCCTCTATATGCTGAGACCTCTGTAGTCGGCTTGGCCCTGGTGTGCTAACTGAGCACCCCGCATGCCAACTGTACCCCCTGACAGCAACCAGATGCCCTGCACCCTGTCGGTGTCACCTGAACCCCAGCCAGCCCCCCCTACAACTTGCATGGCCAGAACAGCATTTTAGGCCCGCAGCGAAAACTTTTCACATAAAGCACTAGGAGGTACAATCGTCACTGTACAGCACTGTTTCCTCCAAGCTACCATGCTGCACACAGCAATCCCTGCCTAGCTGCTTCCTTTCACTGGGAACACACAAACGTTCAGCAGAGCCAGAGCAGCGCTTTTAGGCCCACAGCGAAAACTTCTCATGGAAAGCCCCTGCACGTACGAGGGTTGCCGTACAGCACTGTTTCCTCCAAACTAGAGTGCCAACTTAAGTGCCAGCTTGACTGCTAGCTTGAGTAGTACTTTTACTTGGGGTACTATATAAGTACTATATTTTATAAGCAATATGTATAAGAAGCAATATATGTAGTACATTAAGTGATACAATAATTGATACGAAATACATTATGTATTGTAATATATAAGTAATATTTTATATATGTTATATATTAGTACTACAATAGTAATATTTAGGTGATATGTAATCACTGAAGTGACAACTTGAGTGCCAACTGTAGAAGTACTTTTACTTGGGGTACTATATAAGTACTACATATTATAAGCAATATACATGAGAAGCAATATATATAATACATTGAGTGATACAATAACTGATACGAAATATATTAAGTAATGTAATATATATTACTAATATATTACTAATACATTAAGTAATATATATTATATGATATATCTCAGAGTGCCATCCTGAGTGCCACTTTTACTTGGGGTACTATGTAAGTAGTATATATTATAGGCAATATATATAAGAAGCAATATATATAATATAAAGTAGTACATTAAATGATACATTAAGTGCTACGCAAGTGCTATGTAATATATTAATGTAATATATAAGTAATATATTAGTACTATTTAGGTGATATATATCATAATATGTAACCACTGAAGTGCCAACTTGAGTGCCAACTGAAGTAGTTCTTTTACTTGGGGTACTATGTAAGTAGTATATATTATAGACAATATATATCAGAAGCAATATATAGTACATTATGTGATACAATAAGTGATATTAAATATATTACGTAATGTAATATATAAGTAATACATCTGTAATGTATTAGTATTATTTATATTAGTATTATTCATATTGCCACTGGCCCCTCCCACACTCCTCTTGGCCCCTCCCACACTGCTCTTGGCCCCTCCCACACCCCCTTGGCCCCCCCACCCCTCTTGGACCCTCCCACACCCCTATTAACCCCTCCCACACTGCTCTTGGCCCCTCCCACACTGCTCTTGACCCCTCCCATATCGCTCTTGGTCCCCTGCACCCCTCTTGGCCCCTCCCACACCCCTTTTGGCCCCTCATATTGCCACTGGCCCCTCCCACACTGCTCTTGGCCCCTCTCACACCCCTCTTGACCCCTCCCACACTGCTATTGGCCCCTCCCATACCACTCTTGGCCCCTCCCACACTGCTGTTGGCCCCTCCCATATCGCTCTTGGCCCCCCTCGCTCTTGGCCCCTCTCACACTGCCCTTGGCCTCTCCCACACCCCTCTTGGCCCCCCCATACCGCCACTGGCCCCTCCCACACTTCTCTTGGCCCCTCCCACACTTCTCTTGGCCCCTCCCAAACTGCTCTTTGCCCCCCCCACTGCTCTTGGCCCTTCCCACACTGCTCTTGGCCCCTGCCACACTGCTCTTGGCCCCTCTCACGCCCCTCCCACACCCTCTTGGCCCCCCCCATACTGCCACTGGCCCTTCCACAGCACCCTTGGCCCTGTCAGCACCCCTCTTGGCCCCCTCCCACACTGCTGTTGACCCCTCCCACACCCCTCTTGGCTCCCCCCATACTGCCACTGGCCCCTCCCACAGCACTCTTGGCCCCTCCCACACCCCTCTTGGCCCCCCCACTTCTCTTGCCCCCCCCCCCCCATCCCCCTGCTGTTGGCCCCTCCCACACTGCTCTTGGCCCCCCCTCCCCGCTCTTGGTTCCTCCCACACTGCTCTTGGCCCCTTCAACACCATTCTTGGCTCCCCCATACCGCATTGGCCTCGCCACACCCCCGTGGCTGCGCCCACACCCCTCTTGGCCTCCTGAGAAGCGGGGGGATCCCCCGTTTTTACACCCTGGGATAACGCTCCCCCCTCAAAAAAAA